GATCTGCCCCACAAAGGGCACCCAACTATGGAACCCAAAAACAGCTCAAGAAAAGCTCCAACAGTTTGGGTCAGTCCCCAATGGGCTCGTGAACGTCAAATAAATCATCAAGATGGCTGTCCGGATTATCAACCTTCTAAAAGGTTTGCCCCCCAAAATGTTAATCAAGAAAAACAACTCCGGCAGAGCGGGTCACATGCCCCCAAGAGGCTACCAACTATCAAGTGCCAGGCTGGGAAACACGCCCTTAATAAGGCCCCCGCTGCCGTACATGCCCCGGCCTTGGGCCCAATGCCTCAAATGAGGCCTCAATCTGTCAACATGGGCTTCGCCAGATTGGGCTAATGCCTCAAAAGAGGCCCCCAACTGTTCATTCGATTTGAATCCTGGTACAGCAGGACATATTCACAATAAGGGCTGCCGACTGCCAAACCAAATCAATGGCTGATAGATTGGGCTAACGTCTCAAATGAGGCTCCTGACCAGTAGTCCAAATTGAAGCCTGATGTATCGGGCCAATGTCTCAAATGAGGCCTTCGACGACTAGACCTAATCAAGTCTGAGGAATTGGGTTACAAGCCCCTAAGAAGGCCCCCGACTGCCAAAGAATTTGGATTCTGATGAGATGGGAAACACGCCCCTTAAAAGGGTCCCCAGCTGTTGGAACCAAAAATACCCACCAGTTACCCCTTTTTGGCAGGCTAAGCATGATTTACCCTCTTCCAAAGGTCATGTTGATGCTGGTAACTAGGAAACAAAATTGGGAAAAAACCAATGGCCCAGCAAAGATTAAGAAGATGAACTCGTCCGATTTTGTTCCGAATGTCACAATTCTCGCTCCTCTTGAAGAGCGACATTCGGCGGGAAAAGCAGTTTGCGCATATTTTTGACACCTTCTTTCCCCATGCGCATAAAAGAGGAGGTGGTTGCAACCATAGCCTATGGGTACCAAATATGCCTAGGGACTACTGAAGCCCATGCGGAATAAGCCCAATTTTGAAGAGCCATTGCAAGGATATCCTCTCGGCCCCAAAAGGTGTATGGAGTGGCTTTTAATGTCCCAAAGTCCTTCCCCAAGTTTCACCCTTAGCAGGCAAAGACACAAAGAGACAAGAAGAAGATATGGTTTGGAATACTGCGCTCTATACGTGCAAAAGCTACACCATAGCCAAAACTCTTTGAAGGTGATCTCAGATGCTGTCCAAACCACCGCAGACAGCTTCAAAAGGCGGAAAAATCCTTAGGTTTCAGGCCAAACAGATCTTCCTAGGTCTTACTTTCCTAAAATGGGTAGGCCATTTACTATTCAGGTGCAGGCAAGAAAAACCAAGTGCCTAAAATATTTAAAAATTGATACATCTTCTAAAAAAAGAGAGTCTTCCAACACTCATATCTCATCGAACAAAAGGCGGATCAAGCCCATATTTTGATATGTTGTGCTCCTCAACGAAAGCAAAGTTTTGACATATGCCATGGACGAAGCCGACAACCGCGCCACGAGAAATCTTAGAGATTATGCAGAAAATTTGTGTGCGTGACGTGCTCGCGCTCCAATGATCATAACTCGAAGCCTCGAGGTCGGATAGACCAAAAAATGAATGCATTTCGATCGTGACTCAAAGAGCTTCGACTTGAGGTAAAATACACTACGAATGAGGTCCAAGAAGACATCTGTCCAAGGCTCACAAGTAGGCACAACTTTCGGGCACTAGAAAAGTGCTTTTCCGGAGACTTCATAGAAAACAAAAAATGGTCAATCAGAGGCGAAATCACATGATTCTTGATGCAAAATGATCAAGGTGACTCCCCCCTTCAATTTAGTAACAAAAAGAAGACCATAAGAGTGACATTTTGGACAAGATCGACATTTTGGACAAGATCGAGCATCAAAGAAAACACAAGTATGCATGTTGGCCAGAAAAGTAAAGATTTGCAAGAACACGATCAGAACTCCACAACATCGTGCAAATCCTATATCAAAACGATCCTCCTGGCGCAATCTACTTTTTCAAAGCAATAGATCGCACCAAACGTTGCTGGAAAGTCAGAATCTGATAATGTACAAATTATCAGACTTTTTATAATTTCGATATTACTTTTTAGTCCATTTTATTCTATGTTTCATCAATTCCTCTAGGTTTTGAGTGTACACGCATGTTTCAAGGGTAACCTCTATATAAACCCCATCCTTTGTAAGTTTGAAAAAAAGTTGGAAAATCAATGAAATTATGCTTAACCTAGGAGAGAGTGTAGTTTTCTTGAAAATCTACCACCCTTGAGTGAGGAGAGAGCATACTTTGTTCTTAAGGGAAAATACCCCTCTCCCACCATACTCTCTAGTTGGACTATACTTCCACCCTAGTCCATACACCACACCAACCCATACACCCTCCCAACCCATACACCACACCAACCCATATTCCATACCAACCCATAGACCCTATCAACCATACTCCCTACCAACCCATACACCACACCAACCTATACGCCACCCTAGCTGCCAACCACTCTTTCTCTCTCCTCCCTCAAGCTGCCAGCCTCTCTTTCTCTCTCCTCCCTCTTGCTGCCAGCCTCTCTTTCTCTTTCCTCCCTCTAGCCATCAGCCTCTCTTGTTTTCTCCTCCCTCTAGCCACCAGCCAGCCTTTCTTTCTCCTCGCTTTCCCCTCTCTCTCTCTCTCTCCCCCCCATACCCCCTTACCTAGACCACTCTTTAGGAGGTAATCTGAGCATCCTCTAGTTGGGTTCAACCTATCAGGGTCGCGACCTTAAAAGTCCTCCAAGGTTCTTAGGCTTCGTGCCTAGTACCTTTTCCACAGTCGACCCAGTAATACCTCCTAAGGCAGGTGACGTCGGAATGTTGTTGGATTATTAAGTGGTCCTCTAATTCACTTAGCCATCTAATCTAGCACACCCCAACTAACCTAACCCTACCTAGCCTACTTAACCTAGCCTAGCCTACCCAACTTACCTAGCCTATCAAACCTAATCTAGCTCACCCCAAATCCACTTAACGACCGAGCCTAGCACGCCCCAACCATAGCCAACCTTAGCCTAACTCAACCAACCCACCTAGTCCAAGTCATCAAGCCTCATCTAAGAACAACTTTTCCAAGCCGAGAGACAAAACCCAAGGGTCCATACAACCCAGACCATACGAGTGCACATAGCTTCCAAGGGAGCACTGAGCCAACGATTGTGAAGAGGCCAATACCAAATCGAGCCGAACGAAGGCCAAGGGGCTTTTGACGGGCGCTTCATGGTGCCGAAATCTAAGAGGACCACCAGCCTGGGTGCATCCGACCCCATCCTCGTGAGGTAAGCCTTACCTCACACATTTCGTTTGTTGGTTTGAATCGTTCCACCGCACCGCCCAACCCTTATCCTTGCGGGCACCGGGGTCACCAGTGTGCGCACACGCGCACGCACCCTAGGGGGGCACGACACACACCACTCTCTTTTTCCAAAACGAAAAGAAAGAACCTGCAGTTTTCAAGAGGGGTTTCAACAAGAAAATCCAGGGCCGACCACTCATACCCATTATCTAACTCTTTTGGCCCATCTTTAATCAGAGACTTTAACTCTTCCCTTTATAGACTGGGCTCATAACAGGTAATTAGGCCCATTTAATATCTCAGTAGTTGCTAGAATTGCTATCATGTCACAAAAAAAGGTATGCAAGAATATATCAGGCTGAGCACAATTAGGAGCCCTAAAACACTAAATTGAACGTTATAAATTCACTGAATCACAAAAAACAGCAGTTTGCAAGGCAAAGGACTGCACATATAACACTTTTCAATCACTTATGAAGCGAAAACTTATCACTCAGGCATAGATGATCCCCAACAGGGTTCCTATTGCTTCAGCCACACATTTTGAGACATTTCAGGACCTGGTCCTCTCGTTTTTCACATCCAAGAGAGCAAAATTCAGCAACATAAATATTCACAGCACGAGCAGGCCATCATATTGGCCATGCACAAACGAAAAAACTGGATATCGCTTGACAAGATCAGTACCCAATGAGATTAGGGTTTCCCTTCTTCACTACTCTTTTCTTTCTTTCTTTTTCTTTTGTTTTTGCTAAAAAAAGTCAAGGAAAGGAGAGCATCAATTCAGATCTTCTCCCCATATGAACGGTACTGTGAACAGTGCCATGAACAGTAAAAACTAGAGAGAGAAAGGGAAAAGAAAGAGATGAGAGAAAAGATGAAAGCGAGGGGAGAGAGAGAGGTTTGTAGACTAATTGCATAGCCCACATGCACCTCTTAAACTTCATTTGTAATACTTAAGGGGCTGCTGGAATCGCCCCTCCCCCCCGGTACCTTGCTTCGATTTTTAGGAGATTATGAATATTTGCAGGGATACAGTCGTCTTATGCACGCACACTTGGAGGACGTCAAACGCCTTGGCAGACCAACTAGCTACGGAGGGAGCACTCTTGAGCACATGAGAGACTGGAGGTTTTTTTTCACATTCATGCTTCACATCTCACAGAATGTTTTGGACTTTTTGGACATCCTTTATCTCTTTGTTCTATATGACTGTAATGGGCAGAACTTATAAGCTCCAACCATTTTTCGTACAGGACCCTTCCGTAGGGTTGCCTAAATTTTTTGCCGAGGGACCCGGTTTGTGGGTTGCCTCGATAGACACTTGTACTTCCTCAACCTCTTTCAATACAACAGTTAACATATTCAAAAAAATAAATTACAGAAATTGCCTTTTAAGTACTTCAGTTAAACCTAATGCCCTAAAGTTTATAAAAAGGACAAAGATAACCCATCCTAAATTCAACACTCATAACAACATAATGATTTAATCTCTAACGCATGTATAGCACATGAAGTATTTGGAAACTTTTCAAATAATAATGAAAATAAAAAATCGGTATACGCAGATATCAACGAGAGAGATCTTCAATTAAAAAAACCGGCAGTTTCAAATTCTTCCAGAAAGGAATGAGTAATTAAAATAACATATTAACAACATAAACTAACCATCATTTTGAGTGACATGATGAAGACTGTCAATAGCTGCATTTATGAGACTGTCGGAGTGAGAAATTAGGCCGCACTGCAAAGCAACCTGAAGCATGAAAAAGAGAATAGAGCAAATAAGTATGGCAGAGAATTCTTATGAAGCAAAACACTATAAATGGCTGCAAGAAAAAGTACCTCAGCAGTTTCAACCAAGAGTGCAACACGCTTTAGGTTGCTACTAAGAGATGGTATAGTTACTTCATTAAAAGCAATGCAAGCTTTACAAAAATCCATGAGTTCATCTCTACCACTTGATGCTTTTATAGCTAAATAATTGCTAGAATGTATGATATACTCCTGTTATATACAAGCATAAAACAAGGATAAGTAGAAGCAAGGGAAATCTATTAATTTATATACCTAAACTGAAAATCTGAGAGAGAAATATAAGAAATAATTAAGAAGTGCACTGCCACCAGATAATACATAGTCACACAACTATCCATTTTCCTTGTACCATTTACCACAAACCTACTGTTTTGAAAAGGAAAAGCTAAACATGTTCTGAAACTCATTGACCAGCCCAACATACCTATAGGATGCATGGTCTATGACCAGCCCAACATACCTATAGGATGCATGGTCTATGTTTGCAAGCCCAATAGAGGTCAGAACATTTTAGCCCCATAAATGGGGATTCACAGTCGAAGCTTTCTTTCGTGACTGATACCCAAATGGATGATAAAGGCACAAAAATCTCATTTGCATCTACCTCTACGAATTTTATACACAAGATTCCTAGCTCTCAGCCAAAAGCCCAGTAGTTCTCAAAATACAGACTATATATGGGAAGTGAAAAAATATAATATTTCGGAACTGGAACATAGGCATGAGTTTAGGCTCTATTTACACCTCCATACGTATATACTTTAGGATAAATTGTTTATGATGTTTTGCAATGTTTCATCACATGAAAGTTAGTGTTTTAAAACCGCCATAATCAACTTAGGAGCTCATTATACAAGTTCCCACAGCACACAGTTTTATTGTGACTCGAAAAGGACTAGGCCTAGCTCTTGGCCGAATCCATACTTTATGAGATCAAATGAATCATACAAACTTTACCTATAATATATGAACCGGATATACAACATTCTCAATGTATATGTATCATGGGAAGATGTTTTCTCTATATCCCACACTGAATTCACAATGCATGAACAGAAATTACAAGACGAAGTCTTTGAATTTGCTTTTCCATCTAGAATATCATCCTCTTCCTTTAAAATGTTGTTCGACCAAATTAAAAGTTACCAAAACGGAAAGATAGGTAAAGAGCTTTCCGAGAAAGCCTAAACATTCACGAAGTACAACACGACCAACCTTTAATTCATCCATCCTATGGAATGTTGAGCGGCATTCTATCAGAAAGTTCAAATGATGCTCCAGATCAGCGCCAAAGTCAACCTGAGCAGCCGAAATATCAGAAAAATGCAGAGCAGTAAGGGAACGATAGTGTGAAAACAGAGTTACCAATTGCACAAAACGAGATACATGACGCTCAGCTTGTCGGTGCTCATGTCTGCTTGCCAATACATCCCCAGAGTCATGAAGAGCCTGGGAAACCTCAAATAAGAACTCTATGACAGAAGAATCATTGATACGTTTCCTCCTACGAAGAAAGAGAGAACCAAATTTTCAGAAGCTACTCAATTTTGTTCAAGCTATAGAGCACACATTAGGTGAACTCAAACTAAAAAGTATTTATTCATACTCAATATAAGAGTTCTATAGTGATCATTGTGAGAATTTCTTCGGATGCAAAAAGCGGGCCGCTCAAAGATATCACTACATTACCACTTACCAGGAAAAAAAAGCAGTGGCAAACTCATCACTAATGCTGCAACTCATTCCATGTCAAAAATATTCCAATAAGAGACACGAACAATTCCAAATGTGGGACCATGGAACAGGAAGGGTTCAAATTTCCAAAATTCCAAGTAATCATACGGCTAGTGAACTTTGCGTCTTCAACGATGACAATACTATTAGGCCAATATCAAGAAATTACAACACAAAACATGCATTATCAATTTATGGTCCTATATCTCACACAATAAATATTACAAGAATATGGATTTATTGATATACATATCGAAGCAAGTTAAATGAAGGAAAAATACATCTATACACCCTACTTTGGTATACCATTTCCCAATATACCCAGGGTTTTAAAAACTTTCTGGCAGCATAGGTTTTCTAAAAAATATGTCCTCTAACCCCCTGGACCCAATTTACCCCTTTTAACACTTTTTAGTTTTTGGTCCACGAAAAAACTAATTAAGAGTCAAAAGGGGTAAATTGGGTCACCAAAAACTAAAAAAAGTCAAAAGGGGTAAATTGGGTCCAGGGGGTTAGAGAACATATTTTTTAGAAAACCTATGCCACCAAAAAGTCTTTAAAACCCTGGGTCTATGGGGAAATGGTATACCAAAATAGGGTGTACGAATATATTTTCCCTTAAATTAATGCGGTAAGTCACTGTCATGAGGCCCATCAAAGATGGAACAAAAGCCCCCCCACGGTGAACTCATGTTTTTTTTTAAGTAGGTTTTAGACACAGCCAAAATCCATGATCTAGAAAAGAGTTGGGAGTAGAGAATGCATGCGAACACATGCGCTTCTAACGTTCTTCCACTCTCGCCCATGCACACGTGCATCACATGAATTCATTTACAAGTAATCCTAAACAAATTATGAAAATGCGAAATTGTTTCGAAAATATGAATTACACAAATATACAACAATCCCCCAATTGTTTCAAAACAATAGGTTAACAAACAATTTTCTCTCTCAAAACCTGAAAGATGATGCATAGGTGAAGGTGCTATTAAAGTTGAACCTCCACATAGTGTTACATGGAACACCTATCAAGATAGTGAGTGGACGAACCTTGAACAATGTCTATAGTCAATAAGCCTCCCACATACCATACATTACCCTTCAAATAGTTTTCATTTTAAAAAAGTTTGTGCATTTAAAAGTCTGTGAACTATTCTTGGTTTTCATGAGCGCTCTATTGAATACCTAAATCTCTTAAAAAGTAGCCTCCACTTTCATACTCACATTGATGAATCCATAGAGGATGCTTAGCAGTGTGACATCCAACTTAGGCTTTACATCATCTAGGGAAATAAAATCATTAAGAGAAAAGCCTGTCCATTCATTGCAGTAATTGTACCACACAGCCAGGTATGGAGCAGAAATTTAGAAAAAATTCATTAGGTAATATTGTAGTACATACATACTTCAGACATAGCACAAGTGACTTATTTTTCCCTTTGGACATTGGACTTGGGATCTCCTTATCCTTAGGTATGTTCCCATCACACTGTGGCATATAACATAAGGACATCAATCCCAACTTCAAGACTTGGTCCCTGCAGAGGCTTTTGTTAATAGATCTACCAAGTTCCGTTTAGAACATACATGGAGCATAACAAGACTCTATCTTCAATCATTAGTCGAAAGTGACTATGCCTCATACGAATATATCTAGATTTTCAGGGAATAAATCTAACTTTTCACTCAGTATTTATAGCTTCACCGTCACACCGTTTTGAGGCTGCAGCCATGGGCCCCTAACCAAGTGGTAAATCTACCAATATGTTCCATTCACTCAGCCTCTTTACTAATGGATTCCAAGTTCCATTGAATTTTGCAAGTTCCAACAATCTTACTTTGGCACTCTAAATTAAACCGTCCTCCTATGATATTGTATAGTACCATTCCTGAGGCTTCTCTGTAGGCAAGGTATTAGAAGTGGCAATCCATCATTACATACAAAAAGAAGAAAGGGACGTCTCTCATATTAACTAGACATAAGGCTGCCAATAAGGCCATGACAGCCCTTTGGCTTCAGGGCCAAGTTTTTGGAAGGGCTCGGACAGCCCTATTATGCCCACAAGCTAGGCTAGGACCTGACTTGGCTTAAGAAGTCTGGGCCCTAACCAAGCCACAAAATCTTGGGCCAAGTGTCACGGACGTAGCTAGAAACCCCAAGCTTCTGACCGTGCAGCACCCGTTCCTTAGTCCGTCAAGGACGAGTCAGCCTTCCCACCCAGGCACAACCGTGTGCCAATCAAGCTCAACAAACAACTAAGACTGGTGTGCACCACCAACACTAGCACCTCTACTTAGCCAACACTACACTCAACAAGATAGAAGCCAACATAACCATCCAAGAGAGAGAGGGACACTTAGAGAGAATAGGAAGAGCTCAATATTCGCTATCACAAAAAAGATTACAAGGTCTGAGGTGCTTTACAAATGAGGGGACATCCCCTTTTCTAGGCTCAAGGCCTTACAACCAACTTTCTAGATACACCCACGTCTTACATCTATTGTCTAGGAACCTTCTAGCCTAGCTAGGAACTCTCTAGCCTTTACATGGCTTCTAAAGCCATCTACGTAATAGAACCCTCAAGATATTTCTAGAAGCCCACTAGAATACTCATGAACATCCTAGAGTTCTCTAGAACCTTCCGACACCAAGTGACAAGAAAAATGGGCATGTGTACATAAAGATCAAGGCACAACTAGCCCAAGGCATAGTAAAATCTTTGGAACGTAACATTCTCCCCCCACCTAATTTGGCGATGCCCTCGTCGCCTTTTCTTTATGAAACTGTGTAATTTGGTTCTTGAACTGCCACAACGTGTTTGCGCGTTCCCAACTTGCTTCACTATCTGGTAGATTCCTCCACTAATCAAATACTCCTCGTAAGGTGGGATGTCGTGTCACCATATTGTTTGGTTGGCAAGAACGGACTCGGCCTCCTTGTCGAAAGAGGAGGTTGTGATTGGTGGGGCTCTTCTGTTGTCTAACAACCTTCTAGCCTGGATAGGAACTCTCTAGCCTTTACATGGCTTCTAGAGCCATCTACACAATACAACCCTCAAGATATTTCTAAAAGCCCACTAGTAGAAGAATGGGACCTCTTATGGGACATAGAATGCATTACAGACGTATGATCATTACGCTTCAACCGGGTTATTCTATTCCACCTCTTATAGAGAAAAGGACTTAAATCAAAATACTTAATAACACGGCGATACATTTATACAAAACTTCTACCCCGAGCACACGCAATGGAGCCGTAGACAGTCAAGTGAAATCCAATCCACGAAAGAATTTGATCTATGGACAGCATCGCATGAACGTCCTAGAGTTCTCTAGAACCTTCCAGCACCAAGTGACAAGAAAAATGGGCATGTGTACATAGAGTACAAGGCACAACTAGCCCAAGGCATAATAAAATCTTTGGAATGTAACATTCTCCCCCACCTAACTTGGCGACGCCCTCGTCGCCTTTTCTTTATGAAACTGTGTAATTTGGTTCTCGAACTGCCACAACATTTTTGTGCGTTTGCGTTCCCAACTTGCTTCACTATCTGGTAGATTCCTCCACTTAATCAAGTACTCCTTGTAATGTGGGATGTCGTGTCGTTGTATCGTTCGGTCGCCAAGAACGGACTCGGCCTCCTTCTCGAAAGGTTGTGACTGGTGGGGCTCTTTTTGAAATCCTTGAACTAGGATCTTCCATATCTTTGTAATAAGGCTTCAGTTGGCTTGCATGGAATACTGGATCTATTTTGAGCTGTGATGGGAGTTCAAGCTTGTAGGCTACTTGCCCAACCCCTTTTGTTATAAGAAAGGGTCCTTCATACTTACATACTAATCCCTTATGAAGCTTCTAAAATGCCTTAAACTGTTGAGGTAGGAGCTTTATTAGCACTAGATCTCCCACGTTGTACATGACCGACCACCTCTTCATATCTGCCCACTTCTTCATTCGTTCGGTTGCCTTATTAAGGTAAGTAAGATTGGGCTAAATCTATCTTTTCATGCCATCCTTTTGCAAATCGATAGGCCACAGGGTACCTTCCTACGGAGCCACCCATAAGAGAGTTAGGAGTGAGTGGTTGTTGTCCAGTTACCAGCTTGAACGGACTATGTCCGGTGGACTCACTCTTTTCTAGATTGTAGAAGAATTGGGCCACATCGAGTAGCTTGGCCCAATCCTTCTGGTTGGCACTCACAAAGTGTCTCAGATAAAGTTCCAAGAGTGCATTCATTATTTCAGTTTGCCCATCAGTTTGTGGATGAAAGATAGTTGAGAACTGTAGGTTAGACACCAATAGCTTGAACAACTCGGTCCAAAATCTCCCAGTAAACCGAGGATCTCTATCCCTAACAATGCTTCATGGCAAACCCCAATATTTCACTACGTTCTTTGGAAATAGCCGTCTAGCTTCCTTTGTCATGCAAATCCTTAGGAGCTGCTACGAAGGTGGCACATTTAGAGAGCCTGTCCACCACCACTATGATCGACCCATATCCTTCAGACTGGGGGAAGGCAGAAATGAAATCTAAGGATACGCTTTCCCATGGCCTTCCTGGTGTAGGGAGGGGTTCCAAGAGCCGTCCAGGAGGTTGTTGCTCCACGTTGTCTTGCTGGCACACAAGAGAAGTTCCACATCCTCCCTCATGTCTGGCCAGTAATATGTAGAATCTAATAAGGCCAGGTCCGTCGTTGGCCCGGATGGCCGGCCCAACAGATGTCATGGCAATCTTTGATTATTTCTCTCCTTTGGTTACCGCACTTAGGAACATAGAGTTGCCCTTTCTTAGCGATAACCGCCCATTCTTCATCCAAAATCGTGTATTCTTCCCTTTTTGTACCATCTCTATTATATTTCGGGATGAAGGGTCATGCAAGAGTCTGTTTATCTTGTCACGAATTGTCCCTAGGAGGTGGTAGGTTATAGACTCAAGCTTGAAGGAGGCTAATTCTGCCTTCCTGCTCAAAGCATCGACCACCTAGTTGGTTTTCCCCGACTTATATTCGAACACCAAGTCAAACTCTGCAAGAAAGTCTCGCCATCGTGCTTGCTTAGAACTTCGTTTTTTCTGGGTCTGAAAGTAGCTTGTCGCAATGTTGTCGATTTTGACCACAAACTTGGATGCCAATAGATAATGTCTCCATATCCTTAAACAATGTATTATAGCCATCATTTCTTTTTCTTGAACTGTGTATCGCCTCTCTGTTTCATTCAATTTCCTGCTTTTATACGTGACGGGGTGATCCTCTTGCAAGGGTACCCCTCCGATAGCGAAGTCTTAGGCATCAATATGTACCTCATAGGGTTTTTGGTGGTCCGGTAGGCATAATACGGGCTCTTTTGTTACAACGTTGTTTAAGTCTTCAAAGGCCCGTTGATACCTTTAATCCCAAATCCAACTGATGTTCTTTTTCAATAGGTCGGTTAGGGGTGCCGCCCTTCCAGAGTAGTTTTTGATGAACTGTCGATAATAGTTCACAAGGCCAAGGAAGGATCGGAGTTCTGATACTTTGGTGGGAGGATCCCACTCAAGTATGGCCTTTACCTTCTCTTGGTCCATGAGAAGCCTTCACTAATTTTATGCCCCAAAAACATCACTTGGGGTTTGGCAAACAAGCGCTTTTCCTTCTTTACATACAATTCATTATCGCTTAAGACTTGAAAGACAAGCTCTCAAGTGCTCAACATGTTCTCTTAATGAGTGACAATATACCATTATATCATCCAAATAAACTACCACAAATTGATCCAGGTAAGGATGGAAGGTTTATTCATCAAAGTGCAAAATGTGGCTGGGGCATTAGTTAATCCAAAAGGCATGACTAAGAATTCAAAGGATCCATACCTGGTGACACATGTGGTCTTTGGTTCATCCCCTTTCGCGATCTGAACCTGATAGTACCCCGTTCTCAGGTCTAGTTTGGAGAAGTACTGGGCACTTTCCAATTGAAATAAATCGGGGATTAGCGGGATCGAGTACTTGCTCTTTATAATCACTTTGTTAAGGGCTTGATAGTCAATGCACAGCCTCAGGTATCCATCATGCTTCTTTTGAAATAAAATTGGGGCAACATACGTGGCTTTATATGGTTAAATGAATCCCGCATATATGCTCCCTTAGTTGCTTCCTTAGTTCCTCCAACTCAGGGGGAGCCATCCTATAGGGTCCCAACGCAGGGGGCTTGGTGCCCAGCTCTAACTCAATCTTATGATCAATCTCCCTCCTAAGAGGAAGTCTTTTGGGCAGTTCAGGTGGCATTACATCCTTGGACTCGTCTAGGAGTTGTTCTATTTTCCCGAGCACCTCTCCTTCGGCGTTTTTATCTTTAAAGGCCTCTACTATCGTAGCTAGGTAGGTTAGCTCACCCTTCTTTACCCCCTTAGTGAATTGTAAAGCAAAAAGGATCTTAAAAGGGACTTTGGTGCTTTGCGCCACTGGCACCATACATGGGGACCCCTCCTCCATGATGCAAACGGAGTACACCAAGGGGATGGGCACTACCTTTACTTGGCTTAAGAAATCCATTCCTAGTAGCACTTGGAAGTCGTCCATGGGTGCAACAGACAAGTTTATTTTCCGACTCCATTGGCCAATGATTATATCCACCCCATTGATAGGTTTGGCGTTAGAGTTAACAGCTTTGATCTGGCCAGCCTCTTGGGTGACTGCCAAGCCTAGTCAACTAGCCTCTCTAGTGGACATGAAGTTGAGACTTGTGAGTGGCACTTGTGTCAACCACCGCTTTCGTGGGCTTGCCATTGATCCAAGTCTCCACATACAGGAGGCCCTTGCTTGGGGATTTGGGACTCCCTGTTTCAGCCTTTATCCCATTGAGAAGTCGTATGGATCCCATGTGGGACTCGGTATTATTGTCCCCTTCCCCGTTGTCGTGCAATTTTGCTACAAGGGCATTGAGGGCCTTCCTCTTAGGGCATTCTCTTACCCAAGGAGGTCCATCACCAATAAAGCATTTCAGGCTCCATACCTTGGACATGTCAGAATTACTGTTTTCACTCTTACTGTCCCAACCATTCATGGACTTGTTAGGTCCATTTCTAAGGTAAGGACCCTTTCTCGTCCTCCCCCACCATGGCCTTGGCCACTCCTTGAAGTTCGTGGCATAGATGGGTCATTCCTCTTGTATTCCACCAATTGTTCAGCCATGGTCATGGCCAACACCAAGACTTGCGCGACCAGACGTTGCAACTCTTGCTCAGCCCAGGGTTGTAAGCCATCCATAAAATTGAAAAATAGGTCCTTCTCGGCCATGTCAGGGATCTCTAGCAATAATGTAGAGAACTCTAATCACGAAGAGACCCAGTTTGCCTTAGTTGCTTAAGGTTCTTGCGAGCCAGATATTCAACATTTTCAGGCTAAAATTGCCTTTTGATTTCCCTTTTAAAATCATCTCATGTCTCAATTAGGCAACTACCTGTTCAATGTCAGCACAATTCCTACGCCATCAAAGTGCGGCAGTATCGGTGAGGTACATGGTCGCAGCATGTACCTTGGCCTTTTCATCCCTCACGGAGATGGCTTCAAAGTACCTTTCCATTTGCCAGAAGAAGTTACCTAACTCCCCGGGAATCCCTAGACCCAATAAAAGTTTTGGGATCAGATGTGTGAACCTTAGGGGTCTCTTGGGTCACCACGCTTCCAACACTAACAGCCTTCTTGCATAGGATGACGTCCCCCTGAGCTCATTCACTTGTTCCTGTAGCTTTCCTAGGACAGCCACTAACTTGTCTTCAAGGGACACCCTCTCTTTGTGTTGAGTATCCAAGGCCTCATTCAGGGTACCCAATAGCCCATTCTTGAGGTCCTCGAGCCCAGCCTCAAGGCCTTCTATGGTAGCGCTGATTTCTGTGAACCGGTCTTGACCATCCCCAACAGCTATCTCCAAGAGCACCACTCGTTTTTCTACTGCTGCCAAGGGATCTTGGGACCTATCCCTTTTATCTTTCTTTTCACGAGTTTGGCTGCCCTTGGTCACCTCAGAAGCCATCACGTCCTACTCTCTTAGGTCCACATGCCAAAAGCCAACGAGCAAGCCCACACAAGATGTTGCTCCCACGAACAAGTCTTTTGGTTCCCCGAACGGCACTCTGATACCACTTGTCATGACCTTAGCTAGAAGCCTCCGCTTCTGACCGAGCGACATCCGTTCTTTAGTCCATCAAGGACGAGTCAGCCTTCCCACCCAAGTACAACCGTGTGCCAATGAAGCTCAACAGGCAACTAGGCCTACCGTGCACCACCAACACTAGCACCTCTACTTAGCCAACACCACACTCAACAAGATAGAAGCCAACACAACCATCAAAGAGAGAGAGGGACACTTAGAGAAATAAGAAGAGCTCAACATTCACTATCACAAATAAGATTACAAGGTCTGAGGTGCTTTACAAATGAGGGGGCACTCCCTTTTATAGGCTCAAGGCCTTACAACCAACTTTCTAGATACACCCACATGTCTTACATCTATCGGCTAGGAACCTTCTAGCCTGGCTAGGACTCTCTAGCCTTTACATGGCTTCTGGAGCCATCTACACAATACAACCCTCAAGTTATGACTAGAAGCCCACTAGAATACTCTTGAATGTCCTAGAGTTCTAAGAACCTTCCAGCACCAAGTGACAAGAAAAATGGGCCTGTGTACATAGAGTACAAGGCATAACTAGCCCAAGGCATAGGAAAATCTCTGGGACGTGACACAGGTCCAGTCTTGAGCCAAGATGCACAACCAACATTTTTAATGTTCAAATAGAGGGCACTCTGGTATGTCCTTACCAATTATGTATTTAAATACGGGATATTAAGTGTAAATTAAGCTAAAGAATTTCTTTTTAATGAAAAAGAAAACTAGTCCCTACTTGTTTACCTTCATCCCTGACACAGTTAGGCCATCTCTCTCTCTCTCTCTCTCTCTCTCTCTCTCTCTCTCTCTCTCTCAAAGTTTTCATTTTATTTTTGTTTTATGAATTACTCAAATATTAGCAATTTCAAAAATATTGAAGATTGCTATTCTAACCGTCAGTTAGCCCTCTAGATCACAGGATCAACCAAACTAGTTTACTGATGAATCTAGGTCCAGGATCTGTATACAAACCATGCAAGAATGACAAAAAAGCAAGGTGTATTTTTTTGGTCAAAATATTCTGCATGAAGGGAAGCTCTGCTGTATTTTGAAAATGAAGCAGAACAATAATCAGAGAGCATCAACCAGCATGATTGTAGGGTGTAGGGAAACCCTAGCATTAGTGATGCTTCAAGCAAAGTGCCATCACCAGTCATCTATTGACCAAGAGAAACAATGGTGTGATTAAATAAAATAAGGAAATAAAAACTATTTATTAGAAAATTAAGATTAAAAGAAAAGGAGCAAAATCATATAAATTCATAGAATGATACTAGAAAATTAGGTAAACCAAACAGCAAATTAAAATGCCCAGATACAGATATCAGAATATCTTTATATACCCACCAGTTTGCCTTCGCAAGTATGTGTCCACTAACGATTCTGCGTGTGGTTCCGTATAGTACATCAAAAATGTCAAAAAAATGGTCCTGCACAACAAAATTGAGAAGATAAAATTCCCATCAACAGAATATATGATGGACCAAATGATCATACTAAGTTATAACTGGACTTCAAACCTCCAAGCTCTAAAATGTGTCGAAGTCATGAAAATGTGCACAGAATCACCCAGCAACACTAAAACATGCAAAGCATACAAGAAGCTAGGAACTAAACAAGTTAATGCACCAATAGGATTGAATCAAAGCCTAGTTGGCAAACTATCTTGGAAGACTACTGGAGAAGTTTAGGCATGTAATCGGAATTGGAACCCCCCTGTTTATGCATGTGTCTGGGGTACCATATCCAGAAGCCATTCATAGGATCTCGTGTTGTATAAAATACTAACCAAGGGAACCTTGCTCTCATATCATGGGTTTATTCATGAATCACTCTACCATCTGGCACTAGCTAAAATGAGAGATCATATTACATGACACCAGCAATGGGGGTCGGGGCATCGGTGGTTAGGGGGCCAGGTGCCTCAATATAACGTCCTATGCTCCATTCCCACTGTTAATACTTCAAACAAAACAGCAAAAAAAGAAAAAAATTATACAGATATTGAGGAAGATGTCGTACATAGAATTAGAGCTAGGTGGGTGAAGTGGAGATGTGCATCAGGAGTTTTATGTCATCGTTGCATACCAATAAAATTGACGGAAAAATTCTATAGGATGGTCGTAAGATCAGCCATCCTTTAAGGGATGGAATATTGGGCTGTAAAGAAACAACAATCTATAGGATCAGCGTAGCTGAGATGAGGATATTGAGATGCTTGAGTGGCAAGATAAGAAAAGATAGAATTCAGAAGAAATACATCCGAGGGAAGTTAGGGGTGGCTCCAACAGGCGATAAGAGGGAAAGTAGACTTAGGTGTGCTAGCCACATGCATGTAGATCTAATACAACACCAGTTAGGAGAGCCGATTTTGTTTAAGTGGAAAGCTATAAAAGAGCAAGGGGAAGGCCTAAAAGAACATGGATGGAACTAATGAGAAGAGATATGGGGACTTATGGTTTGATTGAGGGTACAAGCCGTGATAGAGCAGAATAGGACAACAAGATTCGTGAGGCAGACCCCAAATAGCTTTATTTCTTTTTTCTTCCTTTCTTTTTTTTTTTCTGAAACATGCTAACTATTAAATTGAAGGAATGGAATGTACATGTGTAGTATATCAAAAAATGGGCTACCCACAGATTGGGAGCTCTATACAATGTCACCCAAGGGGTGGCCGACGACAGCAGATCCCAAATAGTTATGATAAGGCTCAGATGATGATCATGATGATATTGCATGACCCCTAATAATTTGTTCATGAACAACATTTTCATGGACGTGTCTAGCCCTACAAGCTTTTTGCGCTAGGGTACTAGACTTTTTAGACATGTACTTGACTTGTACTCATGTTGGCATTCATGTATTATTACGTTTAGGACAAAGTCTCCTTTGCATAGTATATTTATTTGGGAAATTCACGCTAATATCCTTTTTAGATTACAAAACATCCCCGCATTTCACATATTTTAATGCTCAGTCAATAAAGGAGTCACCGATTCCGAACTTCAAGTCCCAAACCATTGACTAGATACCGGATTCAATACTTCCAGTTCCGAACTGGTTAGTCTACAAATTAGTCGGTTTGGATATTGCAGTTCTTAATCAACAACTAGATAGAAAAGGAAACACCCCAATTAGGAACTTGAAGTTTCAAACTAGAGGTATTTTGAGAACAATAAATAAGGCAGAAAAAGGGGGACATAGTGTAAGATATGTAAAATGGGAGACTTTCGTTAGTACCTCAAAATAAAAGGGATATTAGAATAAATTTCCCTATTTATTTCAAACTTTTATATCAATAATTGATAATGTTGCACCAGACTCTAGTTCTTGTATGATTTCATATCCCAAATCTACAAAAACAAAACCACCAGGCACACATACAAATATATGACGTTAGAGAGATGACCAATGAGGAAAAACAAAGAATTGAGATGGTGACAATGATGACATATGCATGAATCTAAAGCCAAATTGATTTAGGGAAGTTGCTAACATCTTGAGCAAAGACCGCTGACGCCCAAATTGGGGTAGTTGCAATTTGAAATCAAAATGGCGATTCAATTCAGCGAAGAAGTTTCCATAGATGCACTAGTGTTTCATCAAAACTAGCATGTGTGAAGGTTGTTTTAGTCAAATCAAAGGTAATGATGGTTCGATTCACCATTCCACTCACTATAGGAATTTGATATTGGGAAGCCGGGCTATTGGGCCAGTGGTTATGGGAGGGAAACTGCAACCCAACATCAAAGGTTCCAACCCCACCACTTAGCTACCAAAAAACATGAAATTGGAAGGGAATCATGTTTTATAGTTATTGAAGATAGTTTTGGGTCAAAAGTAGGAAAATGAGACAACATTACTGCGATAGCCAAGAATACCTTACTCGATGTACTCAAAGTATGGCCCACAGTTGCGATTACAGCAGGAGAGATCTAGTCCATAGTTGTTGGAGGAGGAAGCGTGTTCAAGAGCGGAATCGATTTGGGCAATGGCGAACCGCCACAGGGTGGAAGCTCCCTAAGACTAGGATTAACATCTATACATCGAACAAATTAAGGAGCTAGATCCTACTATACCTGGGAGCAAGATCCCATGTAGCTTTTGACTTGGGGGGGGGGGGATATCTAAGCTCCACTATACATAAAAGGAGATCAATTAATAGTATATGATAAAATTAGCATCACGCCAATGCCCACTTGATCTATTATCATAACTTTAGCTTATATTACTAATGTTGTAGTTATAATACTCCAATTTACTACAATAATGCAATTTAATAATATCATAAATTACCTTACAATGACATTAAAATGTAGCTTTTTTATTATCATAATATCATAAATTACCTTACAAAGACATTAAAATGTAGCTTTTTAATATCGTAATCCTAGTACAGCACGATTTGATATGCACCACAGCTTAACATATCCTAAAGAAATGAATCTATAATATCAAAGAGAGGAGCACTAGTTCAATTAATAGTATAGCTCCTCTCCTTGGAGGGTTTCTACAAGCATGTAGACCAAGAAACCATTTTATAGGGAACGAGATCCCTATTTCTCTAAACCCAGCTCTCTTTAAGATCCCTTAGAGGAACCGCAGAAACGAGTTCCTAAGGTGGGACCATGGCCTGCCAACTTAATAGTTACAACACATGCCCAAACCATACATACATGTCAAAACGAAAATATTTCAATTATTTTAGAAAATCATACTTAGAGAGAACTCTTATAAGACTGATCAAGTGTCATACTAGCAGTAGTAGATTTTCGATGCACAATTGAAAATGAAAATATATAACAAACTCAAGCAACAAATTCCATTCCAACATTTTTAAAAATAGTCTTAGCACATAATAAAATCAGCATAAGAACTCCACATAAAGTAAAAGCAAGAGGAACACTCACCAATGAGCAAATCAAAACACCAAATCCTTAATAACAAATATGGTTTAGTAAGTATGAGATGCTTGTGAGATGTTCTCACCAATGCTAATACATCTGTCAAGTCAGCAAAGTGAGCAATAAGCCTGAGCAAGATGGATTCAAGAATATGTAACTCATGCTCTGTGATTTCTTGACCGCGAGTGTATCTCCAGATGTTATCTAAAAATAAGTTTAGTTGTTCATCCTGTGGAAGAAAAGTAGTAACTCAGGATCGTAGAGAAAAATTATGTAAACAACGATAGAAACCTATAAAAAACAATATATGACAAATGAAAAATATTCAACAATCATAAGGGAGAAGAAAAGAGACAGGAAAAAAAAAACGACAAAAACAATATTTCAAGTACAAGAGGATTGACAGCTATCCAAAGATTCTTAAATAAGGAAATGGACACATATGGATATAGGAAAGAGGAATAACTCAGAAGTTTACGAGATTTAGGAAATAGATGAAAGTAGGATTATGAATCTTTTGATCCTTCATCCACTTCTAGATAAGATATCCTTCTATTCTAATTTGAATTTTGATCAAAGTAGGATAAAACAAGTAGGAATCCTAATTCAAATAGGACTTCTAATACAATCAGGATCTTTAAACAAAGAAAATTCTATTATGACTTTTGATCAAACAAGGAGTACTAGTCCAGGTAGGAATTCTAATCCAAAAAAGACTCCTACAATCAAGACTCAAATAATATTTTAGTACAAGTTCTTATCAAACTAAGAGTCGTAGTCCAAGTAGGAATCCTAATCCACATAAGACTCCTCAAATAATAAAACAGTATTTAATTAGGGGCGTCCCACATTGTGTGGGGGAAGTGTGGCCCTTGTGGACCACACTTCCCACCATATGTGGCCTACCCATGTGTGGGAGCTAGGCCCTTGCCCCCCCCCCCCCCACGTGGATCCCACATAAAAATAAGGCCCCTATTAATTCTGAAAAATAATATTTTTAAGGTATAGAAAATGTAAAAACACAAAAATACCTCTAAAATTAGATAGGTACCAATAGGTCAAAAATAAATGATTGTCAACACAGTCCACCCGTGCTAGGATTCATAATCCACAACTATCTTCTCAAACCAACCCAACGAGACCCATGACCCACAGTCATTTGCAGGGGCTCATAATTGGCCCGTCCAAGTGAGCCAATAAACAGTGGAACCATTGTCCCACTATGTGGATTACAGGTTCCCCCTAAAAGCAAGTCAGATGCATATATCACTATAGTGTAAGGTCAGCTCTCTCAATGCACATGTAAATGTATCCCTATATACGTTTACTTCCCAAAAATGCAGTTGTTATATGTACATATGCCATGTTGTTGAGGATTTAGCTGCCACTCTTAAAGCTTACATATGCACATAGGAGATCACGAAGCTATCCTAGCCTACAAACAATGTCCTTGGGCATCTCTATTACATCAACAAGGGATGAACTCTTATAAACCCTCAATCGTGATGCCTATGCCCAAAATAGAAGGGTTTTAGACATGACATGGGCCATAGACCGCCCAACCCTAGGTTAGTCAACAATAGTATACTCCAATGAAGTAGTCAACCATGGTATACTCCATTGAAGTGCACAAGACACTATAATTTATTATATTTACATTCTCTCACGACATAATCTTGAAAAAAAAAAACACAGAAGCAGGTTTTAGGGGAACCTAGCTTTATTTTTTTATTCCTAAATTTTATAAATATAAGGAAACCAATAGCTAATATTGCGAGCATCAAAACACTTAAACCAAAAGCAAGAAGGGCACTTTCCCCCCTTTAATTTTATTATGATCGATCACTTAATTGGTTAATAAATTCTCTAATGATAATGGGACACGTTGGACATAAATTCTATTGGAAATATTTGTCAATGATGTGATGATATTAAATTCCACTTCGTGTCAAATAAGACATGAGAAGAATCACTTTCAATAATGCTTCTTTCTCGCTCCTTTCAATATTCTTTTGGCACTTTTGCAGCTCCTTTTCTCTAGTTGCTCCGTATTTTCATTGTATGTAACCATACACAAGAAGGATATTCCTCCAACAAACTCCGCCATGAATTTTTACTAACAATCCTTCATAACGCCTTCTATCTGATTTAAGGGGATTTGCAACCCTTACCACCTCTTCATAAGAAATCTCATGAAACGAGAGTTTCATTGCCAACTATGCCCGAGTCCAAATAAATATCAAAGGGTAAAGATAACCTCCTTTGAGAATAAAGAAATTTGCTCTTTTGTAATGCCTGCAATGCTATTATATTAAACTATGATGTTATTTATGATATCTTTTGTTTCTTATGTTATTTGCTTTAGTGGTTTTTTGGGACATTTATTGAAAGCAATAAATAGGAATACAATTAGTCCGAATTTGACCAATTGAGATATCTAGGAACAATATTTTTGTTCCCTCTCATTCAAAACAGAGGGACCCTTATTCTAGAATTCTTATTCTTTCTAGTTCTTGGGCCAAGACAAGCAAGGACAAAAAATTTACACAATATGGTGTAGATCTATAGTTGTCATACCTTGTTACAGAACTCGTGCTTAATCCAAATATCAGACATTGTCGACGAATGAATCAAGTTCACAAACAATTCCCCAAGGTCGGAAACTAATGAATCTTTCAGTCTAGAATGTTTTGGATTTAGTCATAACCATCATTCTATATCCAGTCTCATTTCCATTTTTTCAGTTATTCTAGATACTATCTTCAAATATCGGATCTTCCATCATTTAAATTGTACATCTCCTTCACTAGTAGTTACTTATCATTCAAATAATGAATGAATACAAAAATTTCAAATCACCAAATCATAGGTCTCCAATAGATCAAAAATTGTCACAGCGAGAAAATCGAACCTACATCGCAAATCAAACAATTAATGAGTAAGTGCCCTAAGCCAGATTGAGGTTAACCCTCGCACAATTACCAAGTGAAGTAGTTAACATATCATCTATCTAATAATGTTAAGCAACACCATTAACAAAATCATAAACAACTCGCAACGAAAGCATGGAGCGGCTTATGCCCCAAATTCACTCCTTAGCTCAAGGAATAGGATATAAAATGGTAGAATAATCTTCAATCTACACCCAAGAAAGAAAATAAAATCCAAGAATGCCTCTTGTAAACTAAGAAAATTTCCTATCTTTCTGAGACGAATGTTATTAAGAACAGAAGACAAGAGGGAGGGAGGGAGGGAGGGAGAGAGAGAACCTGTCCTACATAGAACTAGTACCAAGACTATATAGGGCAAAAAAAAGTTACCGCCAGTTTACACCCCTATTGGAAAGAAAGAGAGTGGGAGAGACAAATAGAAATTAGAAAAGAGGTTGGGTGGGACCATCCACACTACCAGCTATGATAAAGAAATAAGGGAAATCATATCGTTTGAATGCAGGAACGAGTAAAGGAGTAGGAACTAGCAAAGGAGAAATTTAGAAAATTTACAATTGGCCATACAAAAATCAACTAAAGTAAAACCTGATAATTTATACAAGATTTTTCAAACTAGTAAAATTTGTTTAGTTTCATCATTGTTTGTTTATGGGGTCGTTTGGATGCTTGGAAACATATTGTCTGTGAAATATTTCTGGCGTAATACATTACCTACAAATGGATTCTTACTGTTTGGGTAGTATTTATATGCAACTTGGGAAATACATTACTACTGTTTGGCTATGTCTGGAAGAAATATGGGAATTGTATTTTACCAGCACTTGCCTATAAACTATCATTTATTTCTTTTTTGTCACAAAATTCCACTGAAATGCAGAATTAAAGTCATTATCACACCATTCCAAAAAGATTTTCTAATAACAACATCATCACCATTCCAAAAAGATTTTCTAATAATAACTTGTACCATTCTAAAGCCATCATGACACCATTTCCTACTTATTTTGCATGCATTTAACACTTGCATGGAATCACATGTCTTCTAACATGATTAGACTTTGGTTTCAACAAGATAAGTGATTGGAATAATATGATTGGAATAACATGATTTTATTGTGATAAGCTTTATTATATTTATTTT